TTACGCACTGTAAACAGCGCTGATTCTCATTTGCCCATTCACCATGTCATATTAAATTTTTCATATTAAAAAGCACAAATGAAAAGAGTGGTGGAACAAACAAAAAAAAACAAATTTTTTTTTACAGAACAATTAATTTCTTATTACGTCGAAATAAAAAGTTACATTAAAAATCTTGAATATTTAAATAAATGCGATTTAGATAAATCTTATAATAAGTTTTTCATAATGTTTTCATTGTTAAAAACATAGTAAACTTTTAATTATTTCAAATTTTTTGAAAGAATTTCGGAATATATATAGCAATTGTATTAAGAAAATAATATACATTTTTATTTATTACATTATTTCTCATAATTTTTATACATACAAAATTGACAGTTTACTATAATATAATAAATATAGTATGTAAAACTAGTATGTAAAAAATTTTGGAAAAGAATTAAAGCTATTATCACTTGAGTTTTAGAATAAGAAGATTTCAATGAGAACAAAGAATCATTGATACGAATCATTGATTGATTTACATTTTTTAAAAGCAATCATACATTTAGCTTTCGATGGAACTTTAATGGAACTATAACTTGGCGTCACTTTTTTAATATCTAATCTTTTATATAAAGATATATATATTAGGATTGAGTATTAGATACTACTTTGAATTTAATATAGGAAAACTGTTAAGTGCAAAAATATGCTTAGATTTTATTTCTATATTATTTCTATACGCACAACGAGAGTAAATAGAATGGAGAACAAAAAAACGACATAGCATATTTTTCCACGCATTCGATTGGCTGTCGACAATGTTGTTGAGTTTCGCGGCGAGTTTGACAATTGCTGATAGTTTGTTTCGGAATGTAAGTAATGTTTATGCGCTATAATCTATTATCTTGTAGGTAAATTCTAAGAAGCAATATGAGTACTGTCATTTTGAATGCATGTATTTTTTATTGTATTGTACTTTTACGTATGTATATGTTTGTGCTTTTTAATTCTTAATATTCTTTAATTTACTTAAGATTTGTTGAAATATTTCAGGATATCGCTTTATAATTTTTTTCTGAATATCCTGAAAATATATGATACATGTAATTTTAGTACAAGTGCAATATGTATTTTTATATTTTTATTGAATATTTTTATTGAATATTATATTTAATTTCATTAAAAAGATAATTTAGTTTTATTAATAATTATTGAATATATTTTTTTGATATATTATTTAAACAAATATACCATAACCATAATATGGTCAAGAGTTGCACAACAATCTGTACAGACCATAGTATTTGAATACTTCAAGCTTTGATTTCTGGAAAAAAGCACAATCGCATACGTAAAGGAATAATATCAAAATGACAGTATTTATATTACTTTTTAGAACCTACCTGCAAAATAACAGATTATGGCGCATAAA